TATGACAATATTCAAAGATTGTTATACAAAGTAGGTTCTTAGCACAATCTTTCAGGTAGGTGCATAGAAGCAACATTCCTAGTACATAAATAGAACGTTCAAAAATGAATATTTCAATCGAAACAATCTTAGAATATTCATTAAACATTCCTAAAAGAACATTCCAAAAAGCACTTTGAGGGAATATTCTGAGAATATGAATGTTCTTTCACTGTTATGTGGGAAGACATTAACACCGATGAATTACTTTTGGAATGTGAGCATTTCAAATCCTATCTAGCTATGAGAATTTTTTTATCCATATGATAGTCATCAATGCAAGCGTGGAACGTTCATTCTCCAAACTTAAAATAGTCAAAAGCGAAATTAGAAACCGTATGAGCCAGTCGCGATTGAATAACCTAAGTTTGATGAGTATTGAAAGCGAAATTTTACAAACCATTGATTTTGAAGACATAATTCACAATTTACGATTTTGCCTCTGTAAAATCTAGAAAACGACCTTTGTAATTTGTAACTTCTGATTTGTTATTTTTCCACAATATACATTAAATTTCAGAAGTTTCATGTCGCATTTCGAAGAGTACTCCCCCCCCCCCGTAGGTAAGGGGCCTCCTTTTACATATAGGCCCAGGGCCTCAAGAAATCTTAAGCCGTCCCTGTTTACAAGCTGCCATAATATGTCCTTTTTTACCATATTTTTACAAGTAAATTTTTTGTATTTACAACTGCTAAAATTCTGATTTGTTTTCTTATAAAAGTTGCATCTTAACTCACTCTGATTTCCAGTTTTTCTTACACTTTCTACTTTCCTATCAAATTTGTTTACAGGCTCCTTCAACTCACGATTATACCACTGTTGTTTTTGTATTTAAATTTATGCATGCGATTCACTTCCATGCTGTCACGGGCCTGCTCTCGCATAGATGCTTCTTTATCCAATGCTATTTCCAAAATATCCTTAAAAGGTTTTGTTGCCTTTTCTTCACATAATCTATCAGGTATGTATGTATAGGTCCTTGCTTCATTCCATATACAAATTTATCTTGAACACTGTACATTAAATTCTGACCAAAATCACACTCTAACATACCAATCTTTCACAGACTCTGTATTTTGTCAAAAATAATCCTTTCACTGTAGATAATATTGGTTTAAAATGTTCAGCCAACATGGTCCAATCGTTATAAGATCTGGGCTACATAAATCTCTAATAATCTTAATATGAATATCTCTACTCAAAAATGTCAATAATACAGAAACTTGCTTTGCTGCTTCTATTATGTTAGCTGCAATATGTATATTGTCCAAGTCTTTCCTCAAAAATCTCAAAATCATCACCTTGCTTGAAAATTGACAAACTAGCGGACACAATACCTGCATTTATTTCATTGATAATTGGCTATTGAATTTGTGAGCCCTGACCGGTGAATGCCGTGATGAACTTCTGCTTTTTTTAGCTATCAGCACACTTTTTGGAAAAAGATTTTTGAAATTTTAGTTAGGAATTTCGGTCGAGAAAACTATATCAACCCTTGATTTACTCGTCGCCAAATTATTGTGGCATCGTAAATGGAATACGGAGATAGCCCTAAAACTTTAATAAAGAAATTAAAACCCACGTCTTCTAAGAACAGTACAAATTCTCTAACTTACATGCATCAGAACATGAACATGACAATAAACTATAACATAAGTTCATACCAAATAAACTTGTTGTTGTGACATCGATGACGCCATTTTTAAAATCGATATCGCCAACCGTGAAAATATTCGGCGTCGGATTGACTTAATTGGAATTTGAATTTCCCGCTGGCCATTCAGTTGGTAACACCATGTCAAAAAATGTAACGTTGCCAAATTAAATTCTTGACATTTTGATTGCATTTTGGCAGTTTACGAGTTTTTGGTTTGTGCTGTTAATTGTGACCTTGTTTTTTGAAATCAGCTTGTAGTGCGAAGTGTACAAGATGCCGAAGCAGCTTAACAGCCGTTGCAAAGAACTAATCGCATCCTTTTTACAATATTTCGAACGAGAACGCGATAATAATGGCCCTTAATGTCCCTTAAATGCTGTTAGGAAGGTGAGTTTATAAGTCGTTGATGTCGTGTGACCAAATACGAATTTTTGATTTGAACTTTCTCTCATTTTTGGCGAGTAGCAGAGGCTTTGAACTTAAGTATGTCCACTGTCTGTGCTATTTCGAAGGCAGTAAAAAATAATGAAGATTTGGAATCGCCTTTTAAGAAACGATGCACTTCGAATAAGAGAGTCTGTGATGTTTCAAAGCTCGATAGCAGTGCTATACATAACACTATTTACGATATGTGTATAAAAAGTAAATCGTTTGAGACAAAGGTACATATAGATATCTATGAATCGCCTTTTTTCTTCTTGTAGAACAACATGTAACATTATCCTGTATATGGGAGCAATTGAAAGACAAACAATTATTTGATGGCAGTAGCATGCCATTGAGTAGAATCTTAAAAGAAATAGGCTTCAAATGGAAAAAAGATGACCCAAGACGAGGGCTCATGGAACTTCCTGGGACTTTATTCTCGAAACAGGGGAGCAGCGTTCTCATGAGAACGAAGGCTCTGTCTTCGTCGTCCGTATCCATATTTCCATAACACTGACAATGACAAAGCAATCGTTCTCATGAGAACGCTGTTCCACGGTTTCAAGAATAAAGTCTCTGATATTGCTGTTAAACGCATATCATTTTTAAGGTCTTATCTAAGACTGAAACAGGAGGCTTTGTACCAGTTTGTTTTCTTGAACGAGACTTGGATTTTTCAAAATGGTACTATTAACCGTGGGAAGACAACAACAAGCGAAGTGTTAAAACTACCAAAGTTGATGGTATAGGTAAATTTAAACATGAATACAGAGAGCAGTGTATTATATGTACAAAGAAATGCTTTTTCTAGATATATCATACCTACTTCATTCTGGCACTGAAAATGGATTCATTGAAGGTACATCGCTTGTATATTCATCGAAAACTCAACTTAACGACTATCATGAAGAAATTAATCAGCAAAACTTTTTATGTTGGTTCGAAAATCAGCTGTTGAAGAACTTGAGTGAACCATCTGTCATTGTTATAGACAATGCTCATATGGCATACGCTCTTCCACTTCAATAGCATACATCCTTTCACTTATCAATATTGATGAAGACTCTAGCGATTTCAGCGATTTCAGTGATCCAGAATAATTGAAAATCTTCTTGATGGATCAAATATTCATAATATTTAATAAGATATTTATAGTATTTAGAGTGGCTGTAAATAAAATAGGTACTGAGCGTTATTATTATATTTTATGTGATGATTGAAAATTGAGTTGTTATTAAATATCTATAAAACCAAGCTTTGAAGCAATGTTTATAATTTAAGTAATAAATGTCTGCATTATATTATAATACAATCCATTATTGTTTCTGAAAATATTTTGACCAAAGGAAAATATGGAAGAAACGGCAACGCTGTGCCGGCCGAGCTTGACAACCCGACTATAAGTTTATTTGGTATGAACTATACCTGTTAACCCTATTCAACCTTATTAACAAATTATTTAACTCTATGTGGCACAGGCAGAAGCTGCACCATATTACACCCTCAATAGAGGAAAAGGACCACAAATACTGCATCGAATGTTACGTTTAACCCCTCTTATATGAAAAGTATATCAGTAGGTACGTGTAAAACATTCTATGTAATTATAAATGATGAACTAATGCAACTAACAGTGCGAATAAAAGAGCAAACAGAGACTCAACACTTGGAATTTAAATTTAAATCAAATTTCGTTTGATTATCAAAAATCTTATTATTAGTTATTATAAATATTTAAAAAACTTGAAACCTAGCTATTTTGGTATAGGTAATATATTATGGTAAATAGGTTGAGGTAAGGTAAGTAGGCAGGTACTCAGAAATTTTTATCAACGTATCAACTTTGTTTTTCGAATTGACGAAATGTAAATTGAAAATAATTTTTTATGGTTCACGCCATGTGTCTCAAATTTCCAATGCTAAGTCGACGCCAATAATTATTTCTGAACAGCATTCTGATAGATAGAGATCTGGCTCCGTATTTTTCAAAGAAGTTTTCGTTCTCTTTTCCAAAATACGAAGCTTGATTGGTTGTCTCACAGTAGTCTCACTCAATCAATGCATGTTTCTCGAAATTCTTCAGATATTTGGCTTGATTTCTTGGCCTTGTTCTTACGATTCGTCATTCTTTAAATATCTAAAACAGCTTTTTGTTGGTTCTTATTCGGACTGCGCCATATTCAAATTGAATTTTATGTATGTAGGTATATCTTTTTTTTACAAACTTTTTCACTACCTAATCAATAATCAATTTCAAAACAAAAGCATTTCCACATACGTCTTAAATAATTGTGGCAGAACCTTTTGTTTTTCCAAAAATGGATGAAAAAAGCACTGATTTAGTTGTATTGTGATAGGAAACATCGCAGTCCCTTGAAGACAAAATCTTGTATGTCGTATGCCATTCGGCCCCGAAGGTCTTTTTTTTACATTATGACAAAAATATATTTTTCTAAACATTAAACAATCTAGAATCTAGAGATATTTTATTATTATCTAGTCATCTAGATAGGTACCTATGTATATTATTTATAAAATGTACGCATCAGAATTAGCTTAAAAATGTACATCTTCTATATTTTAGGGGGTGATAGGCTACAGCTCTTCTATTAAAACGAAGCGCGCTCTTAAATCGAGCTTTCAAAGAAGAGAAGAGAACATTCGCGTCGCATCGTCGAACGAAATCTCTTTTGCGTTGCGAGCGTCCTGCAGCAGCAGCAAAACTCACCGGAGCCATACCGGAACACGACTTCCGGAGTGTCCCTTTCTGTCCCACCGCCCCCCCACTCCCACGAATCGCGCATCATCCCCACCATCTAAAAGCGCACTACACACACGGTTTCTCGCTCTCACAGGACCGCTGGCTAGTAAAGTAGCCCGAGCGATCGTAACCGAAAGCTTCCGAACCGTTCACGAAGTATCCACGGGGCTTGAAAGCTGCCCTGTGGATGAAAGATACGGCACACGCGTTTGGACCATTGAGATAGCCACCGGGGTCCAGGACCAACTCAGCTTCCCGCAGGACGCTTTTACGTACACACGATTCGTGTTTTGACTCTCAGCGAAAATTTTCTTATCAGCACAAAAACAGTGAAGTTGCAACTTCGACTTTTGGACACATGTCGTCCGGCAGGACGGACTTCGATTTCAATTTTTTTCGCGCGAAACTTAAACGAGTGATAATTTAGCAGGAGTTTTGAGTGTACGTTTTTCAAGTTAGTGATTTTTTTTTGTTAATTTTGTTATGGACATTTAACTTTTTGGACTTGGGGGAGAGACTAAAAAAAAAAGTTTTTCAAGATGAGAATTAAAATGCCGGCAGTGCGAATTGCTCAAGGTAAGTCCAGATGGTTTATAATATAAATTACAACTTTGGACTAAACAACAATAATATAAAATCTATTTAAAATATTGGTATGTTATTTGGTACCTTGCAAGAATTTAATTTTACTTACAATCGAGAACAAGATTGCAGGATTTTTTTGGAGGAATCCAAAAAAAAAATTGTTTTTACAATATAATTTGGTATTTAGCTACAATTTTATAGAAATTTGACCAAATGCATTTTTATTTTTATTTTGGATGTTTCCACGATTTGTACGAGTTACCCAATACAACTCCCCTATAATATTATTAAGAACAAAACTAAATTATTTCTAATGAGGTTGAATCCAAAGATTAGGTATACATAATTATATAAATGTGCCTACAAAAATATTTTAATTAAAGAAAGCTTCATTAACATAAGGACTATTTCATTCTTACAACATTTCGACAAGAGATTGCCTTTATTTCGAAAAAAAAAGAAACCCTATGAAAACAGAGGAAATAAAAATCCTTATAGTACCTACTTACCGATACTTTATTTTTAGCTGTGACAGCTTCAAATATTTGAAAACAGCTCAAGTACTCCCAAAGATTTGATATTTCTTTTAGTCTAATCTCATCTGTTGGTCTTAGTTTAAAAATATATGAGCCTTGATTGGTAATTTGGCCATAAATAAAAACACCTATAAAATTTCTTCTCTTTTCTGGCAACAATTTAGATATTTTTCCACAAATTTGATTTTACATGTTTTTTCATTAATATCTGTTGCCGATGTACCACGGATCGTCATAAAATATGTCATAAAATTTTATTTTGGCTGGCATTTTCGTCAAGTTCAGAGTATTTTTCACTATTGTGATATGAAATATTGGGGAAAATATTAGTGTCACGTTGGCCACTTCTTGTTTCAAGTTGTTTTTTTGCATCTGAACTAAATTTCATTCTTTACTTAAGTACGTGGTAATTTACTCAATTTTTTTATCATCCATCTCTGAGCTATCAGAATTCATCCCCCTAACCCTTTCCCTCATAAGAAGCGACTTTCTGATTACCACTTGTCTGTAAGGTTCAAAGCAGCTTCATCTCAAAGAGTCTGAAAACTTTTTTATTTGTGAAGAATCTGTTCACTCAGATTTTTCGCAAATATAATCGAATTATTCATCTGGTAGATTTTTTCCTGCCATTATGCCATTATTATTCAGCTCTATTGTTGAATCATAATTTGATCAGCCAATATCTATAATATTGGATGTTGAGAGTCTCATAGGATAAAAATTATTTCATCATCTATTTTCCAATTTCCCGTCTCATCGATATCAGGTGCAAATGGTAGCGCTTGTTCGTCTTCCAATGAATTAGCGAATTAATAATGGAGGAATCTTCATCATCACAATCTATAAACATTAGTCTTCTTCATTTTCATTAAAACTGTTTGAAATGACGTGATACAAAAGACTTTATTCGTTAGGCTTCACTTCCACTAATCTCAATTACCTAATGACCGCCTTCATTATTACCTACACTAGTTTGTTAAATAACTAATAATATGTTTATCCTATTTGTAATTTTACTCACCTGCATTTCAAACTTGAGAAAAGACACAGAAATACACCTCCAAATGGGCTAAAAATAGTCAAATAATGACTGTCTTAAGTTTCCTCACTACCGATAAATATAAGTCCTGTCAAATCAAGTTTTACATTGTACTTTCAACTCGTAAAATATGGATCCCGTCAAATACTGCCTTGGTTCTGCCAAGTCCTAGATAGATAGATAGTGTGCTTTATTCTCATAAAAAACATTACAATTTGTTTTGTGGACAAAACAGAACTGAACAACTAACAAAACTATCCAAAAATCGTCAGAAATTGTAAGAAAATTTAATCTAATATTTAGCACAGTATATGTGCTCTGTGCTCACAGTTCCAATAAACGGTAAGAATAATCATCTGATCAAATAAAATTACAAATTAATATTAAAGTCAAATTAGTTAAATGAAACAAAGAAAAAGACACTATAGTTTACACAAATTTTAAAAGCCGGGATTAAATCTAAATCTAAATTGATCTTTGATAAATGTACAAATATAATAATAGTATATACGAGCATATAATAGCCATTATTTGCGAGTAGAAGACTATACTTTTTCTTCGAAGTTTTTGAAAGAAAATCATTAATTTTTATAAGAAATAACAATCATCAAAAGTATTTTTTTTTTTTGAAACCAAAGCTTCGTGATCTGGCAGTATACGTCAGTCATCTTTTGTTTGTTGTCTCGTTGCGGCCCGTGTATTCCGAAAATACGGAAAATTTGATTTGTCGATAGGCCGTGGATTCCGGTTTGGAATCCACGGGGCGTGTAGAATTCGTATCATTAATCAGTTTAATATCCAGGAAGAATGAATGTATTAATTTAATATTCGAAGAGAAAAAATATATAACTTATTGAGTACCTACATACCTATTTTTTGTATTAAACTATAAACTCCACTACTGAATAATAAGTTACTTATTAAATAGAAAGACACTACAATTACATGAAGTTTAAAACTCAGATTTAAATACAAATAAATACTCAGTACAAAATAATAAAATTAAAAAGAAAAGAAACCTATTATATCACAGTGATTTAAAGCATACAAAGTTAGAAACATGGCCTAAAATCTGTCTCGATAACACTCGTTCAAATTATAATAGGTCCCGTAGTCCTGTTCTAAATAATCTTATTGTGGGTGAGATTTTAATTGCTTGTGGTATAGAAGGTTGAACATCTCTATACCATTGTAATTTATTGATTTATGAACAAGCGAAGATTTCGGAATAGGAAACTGTTAGGTTAATTTTCTGGGTAGATCTTGTACTATAGCTATAGCTAGTAGAAGGCCGGACAAAGTCATTGCGACTTGTTGTTTTTAAAATATACAAACAAGTGATGGTTAAGATTTTCTTGGATTCAACCAGAGGTTTCCATGATTCTCTATATATTTGCCATTACAAATATATCTCAACGCTCTCTTGTGTAAAATAAACAACATACCAATTAGCTGATCAGTTGTTGAGCCCCAGAAAGCAGTATCATTAAAGTAATTGGTAAACTGATTTTCCGAAGTTAAACCCCAGCTCCCGGACTGTCGTCTTCACAACATAGCAGCCAGATGCTATTTTCTTACTGAGAGAACAAACATGTTCATCGAACTTTGAATCGGAATCGATTGTTAAACCCAAAAATTTGCTATACTTCCGCGTTGCTATTAAACCATCTCCAACCCCAAGATCATTTATATGACATTTAAAAAAAACCAGATTAGTTTCACCATAGATAAACGTCAAGAAACTAGCATCACACCAGTTCTCCACCAACTCCAAGTTCCCAAAAATAGCTTTATAAGAGTAGCAACGTTACTACAACTCCACGATATGGTAGTATTGTCAGTAAAAATGGTAAACTTTCCATCAAAACTAAAAATAAAATAGGGCCAAGTACTGAACCCTGTGGCACGCCACATTCAACATGGCCCGGCCTGGATGCATCCGATCCTATTAGAACTCGCTGGGTTCCTTCACTCAGATAAGATTCGATCCATTTTGAAACGACACCCCGGCGGAATCCATAATGATACATTTTGTAAAGAAAAATGGAATGATTTACGCAATCAAATGCTTTTGCTAGGTCGCAAAATAACCTATATCGTTAGCAATACCACATGCACGCCGGGATATGGCGTTAAGTGATTAATTTGTCGCTTTTTTGTCGTAAATTTGTCGTGCAAAAAAAAAATTTGTCGCGTTTTTCTTTTTTCTTAAATACCCTGGTAGTGCTAACTTGATATCAAGTTAGCACTACCAACGTCACCCGATGTTCCTACAGAAGTTTTATTAGGTGAATAATTTGTCGCTTTTTTGTCGTAAATTTGTCGTACAAAAAATAAATTTGTCGCGTTTTTCTTTTTTCTTAAATACCCTGGTAGTGCTAACTTGATATCAAGTTAGCGCTACCAACGTCACCCGATGTTCCTACAGAAGTTTTATTAGGTGAATAATTTGTCGTTTTTTTGTCGCAAATTTGTCGCGCAAAAAAAAAATTGTCGCGTTTTTCTTTTTTCTTAAATACCCTGGTATTGCTAACTTGATATCAAGTAAGCACTACCAACGTCACCCGATGTTCCTACAGAAGTTTTATTAGGTGAATAATTTGTCGTTTTTTTGTCGTAAATTTGTTGTGCAAAAAAAAAAAATTGTCGCGTTTTTTTTTTTTCTTAAACACCCTGATAGTGCTAACTTGATATCAAGTTAAAAAATTGTCGCGTTTTTTTTTTTTTCTTAAACACCCTGATAGTGCTAACTTGATATCAAGTTAGCACTACCAGGGTATTTAAGAAAAAAGAAAAACGCGACAAATTTATTTTTTGCACGACAAATTTACGACAAAAAAGCGACAAATTATTCACCTAATAAAACTTCGGTAGGAACATCGGGTGACGTTGGTAGTGCTAACTTGATATCAAGTTAGCACTACCAGGGTATTTAAGAAAAAAGAAAAACGCGACAAATTTTTTTTTTGCACGACAAATTTACGACAAAAAAGCGACAAATTAATCACTTAACGCCATATCCCGGCGTGCATGTGGTATTGCTAACTTGATATAGGTCGCAAAATACCATTGCAGCTTCATTTGATTGGTTGATGGACGAAAATAAGTGAGTGAGCAAATGAAACATAGCATTGTTTGTGCCAGTGTTGGTACGAAATCCAAATCGGGTCTTGTTTAGAATTTTGTTACGTTCCAGGAGTTAGCTTTTCAATCAACTTAGATATAGAGTGGACAGTAGTGGTGTACATGAAAAAAATCATTTCTGTCAAAATATTCAGTAACTTGTATATGCACTACTCTTGTCAATATTTTAGAGATTACAGAAAGCAGACTCACAGGCCTCAAATCTGAGAAATTGACAGGATCATGTTTCTTAGGTAATAGAGACAAGAGATGGCTTCCATGGGCTTGGAAAA